GAAAATACGACTGATTGATAAATGAACCGCCATGTTTTCTCTTAAACAACCCAAATTACTGCTGTTAATTTTCTGTTGTATAACTTTAGAAATGGCAGTTTACGCCCACAGTCCTCTGTCTGCATCAAGACAAACAGCAGGACGAAGACGTCCAGACGGTCCAGGAAGACGTAGACATGGAGATAAATTTATCTCAAAGAAGAAGATGAGGAAGATGAGGAAGTTTCCTGCAGAGAAAACCTTTCTGCCTTCTCGCTGCCTGAAGGATCCGACTCTCAAAGCTGGAGTTCCCTTCATCTCCAACTCATCCTGTCCATCAGCCACTCGTTCACTCATCTGTGGATATCGTCCGTCTGTCTGACTCCCTGCTGGGAAGCATGAGCGAGGAGGAGGAGGGTGATGAAGGAAAATCAAACAGCAGCAGAAAGAAAAACAGATAAAACAGCCCAATGAAAAAAAGCATAATTGACTTTCTGTCAGATATGGAAACAGCAGCTCAGTTTCTGTTGATTCGTTATAAGACGTTTAGTCAGAACGAATCCAGATGTTACAGCTTCCTGCAGAAAAACGGAAACCTCTGACGGCTCCTGGCGCTTTTCAGACTGAAACACTGAAAACTCTCACCTCATATGCTATGAGCTGAGGAAAAGTTTGGAGTTAGCGGTGGTCGACACGCTTTCATTAATATCCTGCATGATTTCTGACTGAAGTCCTGTCACAGCAAATTAAGGTGAAGAGCAACACAGTCAGCAAAACTCAACTCTAAAACTGAAAACATGAGTGAAAAGTCCTGAAGTGCAAGCCGAACAGGAAGGTGTGCAATAACAGATATGACCCAGTAGAGGGCGCTATGCTATGTTGCAACGACATGGTTGAAGCTAAGTACCGTGTTGGTGTAGCGCTGAGCAGTGTTTGTTTATGATTAGCTCTTTGCGGTTAGCGCTGCTGAAGTTTTAGTTCGGTCCATCCAACACTGGTTTCAGAAATTCTCCAGGTCTGGATGAATGTCCTTCCTGACAATGTTACTTTACTGACCTTTACTGTCAGCTGCCAGACAGGAAATGGACAGAGAGACAGAGAGAAGACAAGCAGCAAAGGCCATGAGGTCAGGAATCGAACCCCAGAGGGCTGCAGCTGAGTAAGCTGTGATGCCACTCCACCCGACGGCCTGCAAAGCTTTTCTTCTCGCTCCGTCACCATGACGTCAGCTTCATGCACAAAATCCAGATGAACATTTCATGGAAACCATGGAAGCATCTGCAGCTTCATATTTAATGGCTTGTTTAAATTCTGTAAAAAAGGGAGAATTTTTCCATGAAAGCAGAATCTCTAATGGATTAACCCGATGCCAAGCGTCGTGTTTTATGCTCCTGTAAGCAGGCCAGGAGGCTTTGGTCGCCTTTCTTCCTCAGAAATCCAGTTTCCTAATGAGGAGTCAGCCTAATGAAATCTAAAAGAGTAAGAGGCTGACATGGAGACGTGAAGGGAGGGAAGCAGGCTGCAGAGGCTGCAGGCTAACAGGCAGGAAGTAATGGACTCTTTATTGAATTAAATGCCCCGCAAACGCAGAGCAGTCATTATTATCCAGCTGGGATCCTGACACCACCGCCGATAACAGGATCCATTAACCCGATTGGCTGCGCAGCCATTCGTCAAAAGCCGTGCTTTAATATGAAGCTCAGTTATCACTGGAACTGACGCTAGGTTACAGATTTTAATATAAAAACAGATCCAGGTTTCAGTCAGACATGATGAGGCCCGGCGGCTTCCTGCAGGGAGAGGCGCTGGTAGAAAACGTTTTCAAAACTCAAACTTTAAAAAAGCCTGACATGCAGGAAGCTGCTGAAGCCAACGTTCATTAATCTCTTCCTAATCAAGATGCCACCAGTGCAGAGCCTGCTCATCAAGGCAGAGAGACAACAATGGAGGCAAAGACGACGTTTCTCTCCAACAAAGTTTCTGCAATGGACCAGAGGAGATCGGTGCCGTCGGTTCTGACTGTTGGGACAGAACCGCTTCCAGGTGTGTGTTGCTGTATTTCACTCTTTGTGTCACTCTTACACAAAGAGAGAAATGAACAGCTTCCCCAACCAGGACTATGATAGTTTTAGGTTTTTTCACTATAATAGTGTTTGATAGGTTTTATTATTTAATATGAATTAAATATTGTTTAGTTTTGGTTTTTATTGGTTACAGATTTTTCACTTTAAGTTCATTTTTATGTAAAAATATTTTATTGGGATTGCGCATCGATTGAGTAATAAATACTCAGCAAAAATGGATAAAATGTTCATTGAACATAAACTAACTGGAGTTTTCTCCCAACTGTAGCGTCGCCATTTTGTAGACTAGCTTAGCGTAGCGCCAGGATGAACACGGAGTGTTGAAATCAAAAAAAAAGAAAAAAGAAAAAAAAAGAAAAATTAAATCAGTTTGCAAGGATATCAGTATGTTCTAGTTTTTCCCCATTAATTACCATTTTTATTTAATTCAGCTAACGAAAATGTTTTCTCAGTTTCAGTTTTTGTTATTTGGTTAGCTTTATTTAACTACAGTAACTTTGCTTTCAACCATCCAGGAGTTCAGAGATGATCTGAGATGTTTTTATTTGATAAAGTCACAAAGTGCAACATTTGAGTCTGTGCAGAGGCTTTCTGCTGCCTTCAGGTTCCTCATCAGCAGCCAAACCGTCTGCCTTAGAAACAATATCTATATTTTCACTTATGCATCATGTTTTCTTCACCAAAGATGCTAAAACGTCGTCTGGAGCAGCAGGATCCATCGTCTGACACAAAGACGCGTCGCTCCGTCACAATCTGCTGCTCTCGGGTCGAACAGCGGCAGCAGGAAATGAGCTTGCCCAACACGACTGCTGCTTCACTTGACCCGATGACCTCACTCCTCTGCAGCGGCCGTCTCAAACCGCGGCGGTGGAATGACGGATGAAATGTCAGCGATGTGGTTAACACAGCAGCCAACGGAAAAATGTCTCATTTGGGATGAATATCTGATCGGCGCGCCGCTCTGCCCTCTGAGGAACTAATCCTGTCCAACGTGTCCCCAATCCGTCCCTCAGCGTCCACTCTGCACACGTCCAGCCCTGGCAGGGATTTCTTCTGCCAGTAATTGGGAACGGATCGGACTTTCTGACGGGTTTCATCTGCAATCGGAGCCGGTTCGCCTCCTCTCAGACCCGTTTAGAGGAGCTGATGTTACATCCACTAAGCGTCAGAAAACCAACTTTAGACGTTAAATATGAAAATCTTTCTGCTTCCGACAGAGTTCTGCACAGCGTGACCCAAATCCATCTGATTTCAGATGCAGAAGCTCTGAAGTTTCTCATTGAAGCTTTTATTCTGCTCTCTAATTGGAACCTCAGCAGAGAAACAGGAGAAAAGAAGAAAGAGGAAACCAGAGCTGCTGATCCAAAACAAGATGGAGACGAGCTCTTCCTGTCGCTTCATGTTGGACAAACTTAGGAAGCCATGAAAGACTGAAAATATGGATTTTACAATTTGGGAACGAGTCACATGAAAAACACGTGAGGCATGTTTCTCTAGAGGACGATGCTGCCGCTTCCTGCTGGAAAAACCAACATGAATCCCAGGTTTGATCACAACATGATCCACCGAGTCCGTCCATCAGACGATGACTTCAGAGTCCATCGTCTGAAATAATAAAACAATTTATCATTTTTCATGAAACTTTATTTAGAAACTCACTGAGATCAAAACCTCACTAAGGAGGACCTGGCCGAGAAAAGCAGCAGCACATCATGACAGACGAGACAAAAGGAAACAACGAACAAACCTCCAACCGTTCGGCCAGAAGCTTCAGTGTTTTCACAAACCAGATCATGTCAGCGTCTCAGAAGCTGCCATGTGGCGAACCACAGGGCTCCGTCTCAGGGCGATTCTGTTTATTTCCCCTCCAGGCCAAACAATCAGCCAGTTTTCTGATGTAATTCTTTATTTTCTATGCTGATGATACTCAGCTATGAGTGTTTAAAGTTGTAATCAATGATAAATGTTTAAGTAGCTCTGTGACGACAACTTGCAGCGAACCGGTTGACTGAAGCATCGCAACATATCGGCGTGTCAAACGCTCCTGCCCAACCGGACCTCAGGAACCAGAACTATGAGGTATCGGACTTCAGGTGTGAAAATAATACGCTGAATCCCCACATGAACTACTGCTAAGTTTTCATTTTAAATGTCAGCATTGACCTTTCAGCCCTGTGGGTCGATCCGCCAGGCTCTGCACGGCCGGACCGGGATCAGTTTCCATCATCATCGCAGCTGCATGGCGAAAATCACATTAATTCAGACCGACTGTGACGAGTCTCCTGCTGTAAAACGTTACATGTTTGTTAGATTGTTTGTAGCCCATGTGAACATGAAGTCCTCAGAAAGTGGGACGTTTCTGTTCCCGTCGTGTTCAGGGGAGCCGGGGTCACAGTCAGGTGTGTGTGTGTGTGTGCGCGTGTGTGTGTGTGTGTGTGTGTGTGTGTGTGTGTTTTACGGTGAGCTTCAGCCAGACGGTTGACCCATTAAAATGCGTTTCACCAGCTTGCCGTTTCATTGCAGTGATGCTCCCACCGGGTTCACTGTTCACCTCCAGGTCCAACATGTCAGACTGGATTTTATAAACAGAAATAAACTACACAACCATGAGTTCAATAATGTTTGATCCAGGAGAGGAAGCTAGAAGCGGGAGAGTTAGAAACCTCTTCTTCTTCCTGTTTATTCCAGCCCTGCGTAGCGTCAATATTTGACTAAATCACATTATGCGTACCCTGACATTTTAAAAGTTTGCTTAAAATTTGCATGACAGTTGAAGGGAAACGCAGCAAAGTCAAAGTCCTGCAGGAACTCCAGCTGTCAGAGAAACCAGAGGAGCTGAAGCAAAGCTCAGGATTCATGGTTCCATTATTATTGACTTGGTAAAAAGGTTTCCATCAGCTGAACGTTCATCAGGATGTTGAAAAGTTTTGAACTCACCAATCTGACGGATCAGGTGTGAAGGCGTGGCAGCATCTCTGGATCAGAACCCTGCAGGAACAAACACACACTGATGATCATCTGACTCAATTAAAACGACGGCTGGGACTTTAACACAACGATTCTGATTCATTGATTACATAGATTTTAAATTATAATGCTTTTATGCAATTAATCACTTTTTTTATGCAAAGGTTCCCATTTTAACCTTTATATTTGTGCGTTTCTGGTACACAAGTGACAACAACAGCTAACACGCTAACAGCAACGGTGGAGGATGAAGCGTTTTCTGGTCCACTGGGGTTCAGTTCTGCTTATAAACGATCTGATTGGACGCTGGAAAAGACTATGCTTGTGTTCAAATTGAGCTACAAGGAATTAGCCTCTCAGCGAAGCTATTCAAGCCTAAAATAGCATCTCAATGCTAGCATGTAGCAGCTATCGCTAATGTTAGCATCCACAGTAAACATGAATGCTCCATGAATGATCAGAGAAACTCTGGAAAGATGAACGGATAGAAAAACACTTTGCTCCAATCTGATTGGTGAACAAATAGATAAATATCTCTTGTCTATTTATTGAACAACTTAGCAGAAAAAATGTTTTTTGGCTTAAAAATGTTATTTTTTTATCTATAATTTTAGAGTACTAACAGGCTGTGAAATTAACTCCATTAAACATTTTAATCCAGTCCCACCACTAATTAACACATTAAACCCAATAAGATACGTTGAATTTTGTGTTTCTTTATGTGACAAAGATCAAAAAGTGTAAAATTCCTGGAATCCACAGTGAATCCAGCGGATTATCGGACCGGGACAAAAACAGACGGAAAGCAGCTGATTTTCACTGAGAGTCATCAAGTTTCCAGTTCCTCTCACTGCTAAACTCCACTGCTCCCACTAACCAAACTGGTTCCCAGTTCAGCTGAAGAGAACCCAGAGAACATCTGACATGTTTCCAGTCAGAGTCTGTTCTTCAGCTGCTGGACACAGAGACAGACATAGAGACAGACGGAGAGACACAGAGACATAGAGACACAGAGACAGACAGAGAGACACAGAGACAGACAGAGAGACACAGAGGCGGACCCAGTAGAGACAGCTGGAATCTCCGGCGTCCCCGGATCGCCGCGCCGCGTTCCTCAGAGGGTTTGGTGGGTCGGCTCATGTTGTTGGAGCCGGTAAACAGGCTGAGAGCTGGGAGGTGGGCACGCACACACACACACACACACACACACACACACACACACGTCCTCTGACCTTTTCCAGATGTCAATGTGTGTGTGTGTATCAGAGCTATAATGAGGTCTGAGGGGAACACAAGGCGTCCTGTTTGTCTGATCAGAAACACACATAGAGTCACGACCCTGACCCACACACACACACACACACACACACACACACACACAGTCGCTGGCTGTTAATCTGTTACAACCAGCAGAAACTTTTATTCTGAAACAACAACAATGTGAATCTGACACTCTCCAGACTGGACACAGAAATACGTTTCTGCTAAAACACACCGAGTCTTAACAAGTATCCCGTATTGCAGACGTCTTAGTTTACTTCAAATAAGACTAAAAGACTAAAGCAATAATTAATATTCTAGAGGAAGTTCAGACATATTTAGGCATCTGAAAAATCCCAAACAATCCAGGATTATCAGATATTCCATAAGAAGCAGAAGCTTTTAGGTCAAGATAATAAAAACATGAATACATTCAGAAGCTGAGGAAAGATTAGAAGAAAGATATATATATGAATAATGAATCAACCTATTTTAATTAAAGCCTGATTCTTTGCTACACAGATGTAGAAACAGAAACAGAGGAGGGACGGGATACAAATGAAGGTCCAGATGGAGCTGACCGGTTCTGATGGAGGATCATTACGGCCTCTGAAGAACTCAGTGATTCAAGTTTGAATGAACGTTTCCTCCGTTCATCATGCAGTGACGTCCAGAACTACAGCCCAGCCCATATGAAATGTATCACTTTGTTTTTTGTCTTTAGCACCAACTAAATATTTTGATTCCTGCTGAGACAAACACCAGACAGCCGACTGCAATCTGAGGAATTCATAGAACAAGTTGAAGCAAAAGTACAATAAAATTAAAGGAAAAGAACAGCAATAAAGCGCTAGGAGCAAGAGCAGCCATTAATCAAAGCTTTTTCCCTGAAACACTTTGAAAATACAGACCTTAGTTTTAATTAATCTGCAGAGCTTTGGGTTCGACTGCAGAACAGGAGAGTAGTAGGAAAATGAAGCTACTGAGCCGAGAGGAGAGGCTG